TGAAGAGTAGGGTGCTGAATTTCCCAACTATTATTATATTAAAGTCTATCTCTTCTGTTAGCTCTAATAATATTTGCTTTATATATCTATGTCTGCTGCTGTTGGATGTATGCGTATTTAGAATATCCTCTTGATGAATTGACCCCATTAGCATTCTTTCTCTTTTTACTGTTTTGTTTACAGGACAAGTGAGTTTGCTATGGGCAACATATAGTTAGTTGGATCATGTTTTTTTTTTTTTAATTCACTCACCCAGTTTATAAATTTTAAGTGAAAAATTCAGTCTATATATATTCAAGGTTATTATTGATTTGTGAAGACATATTGTCATTTTGTTAATTTTTTTGGTTATTTTTTATATCTTTTGTTCCTTTTTCTCTTTTCATTTATCTTTGGGGTTTGGTAATTTTCTGTAGTGGTAATATTTGAATCCTTTCTCTGTGTTTTCAAATTTTGCTTTCAGGTGTAGATCTCCCTTAAGCGTTTCTTACAGGGCAGGCCTAGTGATGATGAATTCGCTTGTCTAGGAAAGACTTTATCTTTCATTTATGGAGGATAATTTTGCTGCATGTAGTATTTTTGGCTGCCATTTTTTTTTTTTTTGAAATGAAGTTTTGCTATTGTTACCCAGGCTGGAGTACAATGGCGCGATCTCAGCTCACTGCAACCTCCGCCTCCTGGGTTCAAGCAATTCTCCTGCCTCAGCCTCCCGAGTAGCTGGGACTACAGGCACGCACCACCATGCCCAGCTAATTTTTGTATTTTTTAGTAGACACGGGGTTTCACCTTGTTGACCAGGATGGTCTTGATCTCTTGACCTGGTGATCCACCCACCTCGGCCTCCCAAAGTGCTGGGATTATAGGCGTGAGCCACCGCTCCTGGCCCTGCTGCCAGTTTTTTTCTTTGTTTTCTCTCTCAGCATTTTGAATCATCCCATCCTCTCCTGGCCTGTAAGGTTTCTGTTGAGAAATCCATTATGAGTCAATTGAGGGTTTCCTTATATGTGACTAGACACTTTTATCTTGCTGTTTTTAGAATTCTTTTTCTTTAATTCTTGATGGTCTGATGATAATGTACCTTCAGGACCTTTTGGATTGTACTTATTTGGGAATCTTTAAGGTTCCTGTATATAGTCATCTAAATTTCTTGTTAGAATTGAAAAGTTTTCAGCTATTATTTTGTTAAATAGATTTATTTATGCCTTTGGGCTTCTCTTCACCTTCTGGAATCCTCATAATTAAAAACTGTGTTTGCTTTATGGTATCCTATCTTTAATATAGGCTTTGTTCATTCTTTTTCACTTTTTTTGTCTGACTGGGTTACTTCAAAAGACCTGTCTTCAAGTTCTGAAACTCTTTCTTTGGCTTTATGTAGTATATTATTGAAATTCTCAATTGAATGTTTTATTTCATTCACTGAATTATTCAGTTCCAGGATTTCTGTTTGGTCCTTTTTAATGATATCTTTTTGGTGAATTTCTCATTCATATCCTGAATTGTTTTTCTGATTTCTTTGTATTCTTTATCTGTGCTTTCTTGTCTCTCACTGAGATTCTTTAATATCATTAATTTTTTGAGTGAATTTTTTTAGAAATAAAGACAGGGTTTCACCATGTTGCCCTGGCTGGTCTCAAGCTATTGGGTTCAAGCAGTCCACTCAACTCAGCCTCCCGAAGTGTTGGGATTACAGATGTGAGCCATCATGCCTGACCATATCATTATTTTGAGTTTTTTTCTTATAGTTCATAAATTTCTTTCTGATTAAATCTGTTGCTGGAGAATTATTGTGTTTCTTTGGAGGTGTCATCTTTTCTTGCTCTTTCATGTTTCTTGTGTCCTTATATTAATATCTGTGCATCTAGTTTAACAGTCACTTCTTTGAATTTATTGAATTGACTTTTTTAGGAGAAGACTCTTTCCTGAAGATGTGTTTATGGTGTTGATTGGGTAGAGAACTTTGGTTCTGATTCTGAGTGCATGCAGTAGTGTAGTCTCCATCTGATTTATTCAGGTGTACACAGCATCACTGGTGTCTGTGGATTCCTTGGTGGTTTAGATTGCAATTGTTAGTGGAGGCTGGGGTGAGGTTATACTAGGGAAGGCAGGCCATTTCTTGGGCCCCAGGAGTGGCAGCAGCTAGCCAAAGCACACCTGTCCTTGGGCCCCTGAGCAGTATAGGCAGGAAGTGGTGTTAGCAGATCCAAGCAGGCTGATTCTTGGGCTTCTAGGCAGCTTGCTTAGGTGCCAGCAGTGTTAGTGGTGGGCTGGGCGGGTTGATGTGTGTCTGGGTTCCCCAGGCAGTGTGTGTTAAATGGATGATGGCTGTAGCAGTGGTGACAACCTTTGGGTTCCCAAGCAGTACACACTTATATTAGTGGTGGCGGTAACATGCTGGACAGACCAAGGAGCAAGTATGGGTGAGTGCCAGCTGCTATGGTGGTGGCCAGTTGAGTGGGCCTGTGCTCAGGTCCCCAAGAGGAGTACACAGATGCCAGCAGTGGTAGATGGGACAGGGCAAACCCCAGAGCCTTGGGTGTGGTCGAGCACTGGATGGCGGGCAGTACCAGGCCTGAAGGGCTGTCCTCAGGTCCCCCAGCGGTGCATACAGGTGCAGCCTGTGAGTGGACTGGGTGATCTGCAAGTCCCCCTGGCAGAGTGCTCAGATGGCAGCAGCAGTGGCAATGGGTGGAGAGAGCTCATCCTGAGGGCATGTGCAAGTGAGCTGCAGTCCTGCTGCAGGGGGTGGGGTGAGGTTGCTGTTAGTGGCTGCAGCCACTGGCAGGTGGCTCTTGGGTTCTGGGAGCACACATTCAGCCCCCAGCAGCAGTGGCCATGGCAGTAGTGGCAGCAACAGTAGGGAGAGCCAATCTTCAGGGCACATGCAAGTTTGTAGTGGCCCTGCTGCCAAGGGAATGAGTGGTACAAGGTCGTTGCCAGTGGCATATGCTTCAGCCCCTCAGCTGTGAGTGGGAGACTCCAGCTTCAGGGAACATGCACACGTGCATGGTAGACCTGCTGCTGGTGGCGGCAAGGTTGCTATCAGTGATAATGGCCCCAGGTAAGTGGGTTTCAGGCTCTGGGGAACACACACTTTGACTCCCTTTGTCTCAAGGGCAGCCTCCTCAGTGTATTGCATTACACACTCCCCCAGGTGGAAGACACTGTGCAGAGTCCAGATGGACATACGGGTATGTCAGTGGGGCTCTAGGGATGTGGAGATGCAGGGACTGTTGGGCCCCAAGGAAGGATGCAGTCTGGGAGGGGCTGGACTCTCAAAATGGTGCCATCCTGTGCTGCTTAGTACTTCAGGGTGGGGAGGGGTGGTGGGAGCCAGCATGGGCTCCTCTCTGGAGCAATGCCATTGTGTGGTCTCCAGGCAGCACTCTATTACTAGTCTTAGGGCCCATGAGGGTTGAGGAGCACTCCCATGGTGAGGATTGCAGGAGTCCACAGTATAAATGTGGACTGCTAGGGATCTTTAACTTACCATTTCCCTGCACTGGGAAGCCTCTCCAGGCTCCCAGCCAATCCCAGCTCCTTTTGTGCCTTGTGTGTTTCCTGTCACCTCTCTGTAGAATTCCAGTGTTGTCTCTTAGATGCCCTTTTTGAAGTGTGAATATCTACTTGCTATTCTGGATTTCGATTCTACTTTGTTCAGGAAGTGAGTACCAAATGCCTCAAGTCAACCATATTGACACCCCTCCCGTATAGAGTTGTTTATATGTATTTATTTTCTTTTTCCGCTTTATTTCTTGACCAGAGTTTTTTTGTCCTATATTATTGGGTCTTATTATATCTACATTTTATTTTTAGCTATTTCAAATTCTTTTTTTTTTTTTTTTCTTTTTTGATCTGTCACTCAGGCTGGAGTGCAGTGGTGCAGTCATGGCTCACTGCAGCTTCAATCATCTGAGCTCAAGCAGTCCTCCCACCTCAACATCTTGATTCACTGGGCTCCAGGCTTTCACCACCACATCCAGCTTATTTTAGGGGGATGTTTTAGTAGAGATGAGGTCTCACTTTGTTGCACAGGCTGGACTCAAGCTCCTGGCCTCAAGCCATCCTTCTGCTATGGCCTCCCAAAGTGCTGGGATTATAGGTGTGATTATAGGTGCAGTGTGAACCACGGCACCCAGCGTTCACATTCTTTTTTAAAAATAAGTGGGGGCTGGGCACAGTGGCTCATGCCTGTAATCCCAGTGCTTTGGGAGGCTGAGGCAAGAAGATTACTTGAGCCCAGGAGTTTGACACCAGCATGGGCAACATAGTGAGACGCTATCTCTAAATAAATAAATAAATGAACAAAGTAGGTAGGATATAAACAAGCTAATGGAAGAAATAAATATCTTACTTTCATCACCTTTTCATACCCACTACAATCGATAAATGAATCAGTTGTCTGTAGTTCCCAATGGCATAAGAAAATCCCCTACATCGGATCTAGTTTTCTGCTTTCAGTGTCAGCAGGCGATGTGTGAAGTGATCTTACTAGAGGAGAGCAGGAAAGCGAAATCTGGATATGAGCCTCCAGCAACTGAATTGTTCAAAAGGGAGTACTTGTGGGAGTAAGAACAAAGTGATCCAAACTCCATAAGAGGAGAGAGCTTAGAAAATGACTGTTTGGTCTCTAGATAGAAGCAAAGAAGAGAGGCCTTATGGGATGGAAAAGTGTCCTCATTTATTTCCAAATAAGATTTGAGGTGACATAACACTAAAACAATTATTAAAAATGTAAACTAGAATTAAGAAATAAAGTGGAAGGATGGAAGACTTAGCCACTGTGTTTTAAATTTTGATTTGTTCTTTTCATCGAATGTCAGTTCCTAATGCTAAAATAGAGGCAAATAAATGCAGATTACAGGTTACTCTCTCCAGTTGACTCAAGATTGATTCTTAAAATAGGTATAAGATTATTTTTAAGTATATAAAATGAAACCTTTAAAAACAGAAAAATTAAAACTTTGAGTTATGTTACATTAAGATGAATTTTGTCACCTTAGGTTTTGCTAGTGGAAGACTCAGAAAAATATGAAGTATTTGGCCAACCAGATAGAGAAGAGTTCTTGTTTTGTCTTTTCAAACACCTTTGCCTTGGTGGAGCCCTTTGTCAATATGAGGATGTGATTAACCCATATCTGGAAACAACAAAGCTTATCTATAAGGATCTGGTGAGGTAATGTTTGCTAGATTACAATATGTAAATCTCTAGTTAATAGAATAAATTATTTGTTTAACCATGGTGGAATTACACAACATCACTCAGTGGTTATATTAACAGCCAAAGTATATAAAAAGCACTACCCTCACCTCCTTCTCATAACTTTTCCCCTCTCTTCCAGGATAGAAAGATTTGTGGATTTCTCTCTTATTTAGTTCTCAATCCTCTCATTCTTCATCTATTTCTTCTGCTTTTTTCCTCATTCAGACCTGTTACCAACTGCCATCTTCCAAGACTTCTTTTTTTTCTTACCAAGCCTCCTTTTAAATCTGAAGGCAACAGAAGAGATCCCCCCAGATGTTTGAGTTTGCTTAACTAATAGTAAAAACAATAATTACCTTTGTTCCAAGGAAGTGGAAGAATTTTCGTGAAGGTATAATATTTACCTTTTCGAATTAATCCCAAGCTATACAGTTTGAGTATCCAAGGAGCATTTTTCTTTTTGAAGATTAAATGGGAATGAAAACCTTACAAGTTTCTTATTTGTGCCTTTTTTTTTTTTTTGAAAATTAAAGCAGTTAAATTTGTACCTTTCTTTTAACTGAAGTGAATATTCTTTGGTTGGGTTATTCAGTTATGAAGATATTGGATCATCTTAATAGGCAAAACAACAGAAAACAAAGGGTCTTAAAGTTTAGTTATATAATTTAATAGGAGAAAACCAGAAGTAGCTTCTTATTGGACTAATAATTATTGCTTTACTTATGCTCAACACCTTAATTCTCATAGCCATTCCATATGTCGTATAGCTATATAGCAAAGTGCATAATTTAGTTATTCAATTAATTTATGACATGGTGTTAAAAACAGAAAAATGTTTCTATAATCTGTGATTTTAATGAACAAGTTATCAACAAATCAAGATTATTGGAAGAAGATATGTTAGAAACAGAATTTCAGAAAAAGCATATACATACCTATTAGTGTATCAGACATACTGTCCTAATTATTTGAAGTTCATGTAAATCTGCTAGACTGCTTCTAGCACTCCCTGAAGAAACTTCTCTGTATACCCTACGCATACACACACACATGCACAAATGCACACACACATATACTACTGCTACTACCACCACAGTGTACCCCATCAGCCACATGAACCTGTGGAATTCCTCACTGCTACTGTGTGCTGCTGAGGAGTAGCAGATTGTATTGGAGATATTTGAAGTAGAAATAAGTTTAGAACCTAAACATTGAAGAAACTGCTATTTTTCTCAACATTCCCTTCTCCAGATTCTCACCTGTGATTCTCTTCTACATTTTTGGATGCTAAGAAAAAGCATGATTGCTTTACAGTGTGTAACCTACCCTTGCAGATAAACATTAGTGCTAATCCATTCGAGCACAGTCCATCTCTTATGTTTTTACATGTTGGGGGCACACTACTACAAAGTGTGATTTTAGGAGTCTCTAACTCAAACAAAAGGGTAAAAATGTTATGAAAATATTTTCTTCCTCATCCATTATAACAGGTACTATAAAATACACCCCTTTTATTGTTTTTATTTTTTATATTTTATTTATTTATTTATTTATTATTTTTATTTTTTTGAAACAGAGTCTCACTCTGTTGCTCAGGCCACGCTGGAGTACAGTGATGTGATCTCAGCTCATTGCAACTTCCACCTCCTGGGCAGGAGAATCAAGGGATTCTCCTGCCTCAGTTTCCCAAGTAGGTGGGCTTACAGGCACATACCACCATGCCAGGCTAATTTCTTTATTTTTCATAGAGACGGGGTTTCACCATGTGTTGGCCAGGCTGGTCACTAATACCCGACCTCAGGTGATCTGCCCACCTCAGCCTCCCAAAATGCTGGGATTACAGGCATGAGCGACCACACCTGGCCAAAATACACCTTTTCAATGTTTTTAAAAACATTTTCCTTAAAAAGATTGGGATTTCTTTAAACCAAGTAAGCAATACTTTAGAACCACCCATTTTGTTAGAAGAGTAAATGATCAGGCTGGGTGTGGTGGCTCATGCCTGTAATCCCAGCACTTTGGGAGGCCAAGGCAGGAGGATCATCTGAGGTCAGTAGTTCGAGACCAGCCTGACCAACATGGTAAAACCTCGTCTCTACTAAAGATACAAAAACTAGCCAGATGTGGTGGTGAATGCCTATAATCCCAGCTACTCCAGCTACTCGGGAGGCTGAGAGAGGAGAATCGCTTGAACCTGTAAGGCAGAGGTTGCAGTGAGCCAAGATCATGGCCATTGCACTCTAGCCTGGGCGACAGGGCAAAACTCCATATCGAGAAAAAAAAAATTATAGTAGTAATAAGTTAAAAATTATATAAAAAATGTTTTACCAACTGTAAGACATTATAAATATAAAGTGTGGGCCGGGCACGGTGGCTCACGCCTATAATCCTAGCACTTTGGGAGGCCGAGACAGGAGGATTACCCTGAGGTCAGGGGTTCAAGACCAGCTTGGCCAGAATTGTGAAAGCCTGTCCCTAAAAAAAATAAAAATAAAGTGTTTATATATTCATTTACATATGTAACAAATTATAAATATATATGTATAGCTTATTTTCTCAATCCTTAGTTGACTTTCTCACTACATATTGCCACAGGAAATCTTCTGTAGGGACAGTAACTGAAAGAAACCTACTGAGAAAAAATTATTATTCTTATTATTTTTTGAGATGGAGGTCTTGTTCTGTCACCCAGGCTGCAGTGCAGTGTTGTGATCTCAGCTCCCTGCAACCTCCACCTCCATGTTTCAAGCAATTCTCTGCCTCAGCCTCCCGAGTAATTGGGATTACAGGTGCCCATCACCATGCCCAGCTAATTTTTTTGTATTTTCAGTAGAGATGGGGTTTCGACATCTTGGCCAGGCTAGTCTTGAACTCCTGATCTTGTGATCCAGCACCTTGGCCTCCCAAAGTTCTGGGATTACAGGCATGAGTCACTGGACTTGGCTGAAAAAAATTATTTTTAATATGATATAACTTAGCAATATATAATACAATAAATAGTTGTTATATATATTGTCCAATTTGATTTTCATATACTAAAAGGAACATATTATTTCCCATTTGCATATGAGAAAATTGAGGCTCAGAAAGGTTAATGTTACCCAAAGTTAAAGAACAAATCAGTGGCAGAACTAGCATTTGTATTTACATTAAGTCTTCAGTCTAGCATGCTTTTATCTACCCCATACGGCTATCTACACTTCAGTCTGACTTTTACAAATCCCTGTTTGTCCGATAATTGTCTCTGTAGCCTGGGAGGGTAATTTCATCATCTGAGTCTCAGACTGACCTTAAACCTTCTAACTGTGAGATTCAATTTTCTGCTGTTTTAATTCAGTTGACCTTGCCCATTCTTGGATAAAGCCTCAGATGCCATTTTTTCAAACCACTTTGTTGGATGGTGTATATTTCCATTTTCTATATGAATAAGAACATTTAAATACTAAAAGGGATCATTACTTAAATGTATATGCCAATGCCTATTACATGTTAAAAGCATCTTTTTTTTTTTTTTAGTGTTCGAAAGAATCCTCAAACCAAGAAAATACAAATTACCTCTTTTGTCTTTAAAGTTTCAGCCTATGTAAGTGTGAGAGAACTTTTGCAACCAAAGAATTTAATTACTTTTTATTAATAGAGTTGTTACAACTGGAGTTAACAATTAGGACAACATTATGCCTAGGAGAAAAGACAATGTTATCTAGAGTTTTGTTAAAAGTTGATAGAGTATGCTTTTGTTTAGAGAACAGTTTGAACTGTTTCCCTGGCTTTCATTCTGTCATCTCTATCTAATAACATTGCCTGCTTATTTGAGAGCTAAATCTGTGACTCAAATGAAGTAGAACACAGTTCTCTTAGTCTGTCAAACCATCATTTATAGGGCAGATAACTAAGAATGCCATAAATGTCTTTATACAAAAATCTGGTACTTGAATTTTAGTATTACACAAGAGATGTTATTACATATATAAGCAATTTCTTTTTTTTTTTTTTTTTTTTTTTTTGACAGCATTTCGCTCTTGTTACCCAGGCTGGAGTGCAATGGCACGATCTCGGCTCACTGCAACCTCAGCCTCCTGAGTAGCTGGGATTACAGGCACGTGCCACCATGCCCAGCTAATTTTTTGTATTTTTAGTAGAGATGGGATTTCACCTTGTTGACCAGGATGGTCTCGATCTCTTGACCTCATGATCCACCCGCCTCAGCCTCCCAAAGTGCTGGGATTACAGGCGTGAGCCACCGCGCCCGGCCATATAAGCAATTTCTAAGTATCTTCATTTAATCACCTAACAAGTATTTATTAAATATAGACTGTGTATCAGCTATTGTGCTAGGCTAAATCACAGGGATAAATAAAAGAAACATATTTTATACCTGGTGTAATGGCTCACACCCATAATCCCAGCACTTTGGGAGGGCAGATCGCTTGAGGTCAGTATTTTCTAAATCAGCCTGGCCACATGTTGAAACCCCATCTCTACAAAAAATATAAAAAATTAGCCAGATGTGATGGCAGACACCTGTAATCCCAGCTTTTCAGGAGGCTGAGACACAAGAATTGCTTGAACCCAAGAAGCGAAGGTTGTAGTAAACTGAGATGGTACCAACATTGCACTCCAGCCTAGGCAACAGAGTGAGACTCCAACTTCAAAAAATTTTTTTTAAAAATAAAAGGGGCCAGGCATGGTAGCTCATGCCTGTAATCCCAGACTTTGTGAGGCCAAGGCAGGCAGATCACCAGGTCAGGAAATTGAGACCATCCTGGCTAATGCAGTAAAACCTCATCTCTACTAAAAATACAAAAAATTAGCTGGGCTTGGTGGCATGTGTCTGTAGTCCCAGCTACTCTGGAGGCTGAGGCAGAAGAATCACTTGAACCCAGGAGGCAGAGGTTGCAGTGAACTGAGATCACACCACTGCACTCCAGCCTGAGGGACACAGCGAGACTCTGTCTCAAGGAAAAAAAAAGCACACACAAAAGAAAGAAAACAAACAGAAAATTTTTGCAGTATTAGCACTTTAAAAGCACTTTTTAAAAATGGAGGGATTTGTCTTTGGACTATAAATTCCTTAAAGACAAAAATTATGCACATAAGTATAATACATATGTATTCCTATCATAGTAGACTGTGCTGTCCATAAATATTTTAAATCATTAGTTAACTTCCAGTTTATTGTCAAAGATTTTATATGTTTCCTATTTTGACAGAAAATACATAATAGGCAAATAAGTTGATTATCACCTAAACACAGTTGTATCCTAAATAATTTAGGTTTGTCTTTTTCAGGATTCTGCTGGTATGTGCTATCCTTCAACAAAGAATCATGAACAGACATTTTCTTACTTTACCGTGGATCCTATCAAGCGTCACCTTCATGTTTTATATCACTGTTATGGTGTAGGAGACATGTCTTAATGCTCTTTCAGATGATGTACATCTATTTTTATTTATCATTTTTGTATTTTAATACTAACTTATAAACATTTACTTTGCAAATTAATTCAATAAAAATATAAAGAGCTTACTTAGAGTGGAGGAAGGCAAACACCAAGATGCCTTTTTGAAAAATTTGTGTGGAATACTAACCAGGGATCAAATGTCATCCCTAATGAAATCTACACCAAAAAAATTGTGGAATTTTTGCCAAAAGTTACAAGGAATTAGAAGTCTAATTCATATTTGTTGCATTTTGATCCAAGTGACTCCTCAATTTTTCATGTATTTTAATTTATAAGCTAATTAATTCTGGATTGAAAATGTAGCAGAAGGCTGGGCGTGGTGGCTCACGCCTGTAATCCCAGCACTTTGGAAGGCCGAGGCAAGCGGATCACAAGGTCAGGAGTTCGAGACCAGCCTACCTAATGTAGTGAAACCCTGTCTCTACTAAAAATACAAAAATTAGCTGGGCATGGTGGCACAAACTTGTAGTCCCAGCTACTCAGGAGCCTGAGGCAGGAGAATTGCTTGAATCTGGCGTTGGAGTGAGCCAAGATCGCACCACTGCACTCTATACTGGGTGACAGAGCAAGACTCGGTCAAAAAAAAAAAAAAAAGAAAAGAAAAATGTAGCAGAAAACTAAACATTTCTACCACTGATCATTAATATGAATTGTTAGTTTATTTAACTTGTTTGATTTAATTGCATTTCTCCATTGCAGAAGCCTTTACATCTCTAAAGCTAGGAAAAGCATAACAGTGTTTTTGTTTCATTTGTTTCACTTAAAAGCCTCAATAAAAAGAAAGTTCTGAAAGTAGTTGTAAACTCTTTTATTACATAATAAATTAAAGCTGCAGCAGCCCTACAGCTAATACAAGAGCTACATGTAAACAGAAAAGGTTGCCTGATTGTATTAGTAAGTTGTTCAAAGAGTGAGAAGCAGGTTGTTTTAGTACCGTTCCTCATATCATTCATAGAATGAATATATGACCTAGATTTTTTTTATGACAAAAATCATTGATATATATCCCATAGCTGATGGGAAGCCTGTAAGAAATGTTGAGGTTTTGAGGAGGAGCACGTTTGAAAGATGTGTTTCTGTGTTATGGGATAAAGAGGATAATCTTGTATTTGAACTTGAATTTGAATCTGGAATGCAGCTGGCAATTTGGGTATAGAGCTCAGGAGAAAGAGTATGTTTTACTTTTTACTTCTAATACTTAGCACAATGCCTTGGCATTTTTTTTTTTTTGAGACAGAGTTTTGCTATTGTTACCCAGACTGGAGTGCAATGGAACAATCTCGGCTCACCGCAAGCTCCACCTTCTGGGTTCAAGCAATTCTCCTGCCTCAGCCTCCTGAGTAGCTGGGACTACAGACAGGCACCACCATACCCAGCTAATTTTTGTATTTTTTAGTAGAGACGGGGTTTCACCTTGTTGACCAGGATGGTCTCAATCTCTTGACCTCGTGATCCACCCGACTCGGCCTCCCAAAGTGCTGGGATAATAGGAGTGAGCTACTGTGCCCAGCCAATGCCTTGGCATAATAAATGTTTATTGAATGAATAACTACTTTTCAGATATGTTCATAATACCCATAGATTTTTAAAAATTACATAAAAACATAAAATCAAGAACTGAAATATATTTGCTGCCAGCTTTGCTGCTTATCTCACAGTTATCTATGACCTGGAGACCCTTTCAATCAAACAAGCAGTCAGTAATTCTTTTTGAACACCAATTCTATGCAAGGCACTGGGCAGTTTACTTTGGGGAAACATGCACTCCCTATAAACCTATTTAGGAAAATAACATTTAAGAGTGTGACTACCAACAGTGATTATTACATGAATTCAGAGATAGAAGAGATCACTATGAACTAAAATAGGCTTGGTCTGGCTTCTATGGAAAGACTGGTAGGATTTCAAAAACTCAAGAGAACAGCATTTCAAGGGAGTGCCTTATGTGGCAGGGTACTCTAGGCCTGGCCATGGGATGAAAGTCCAGAGGCAAAAGATGGGAAAGTGATACTGAGGAATTGCCACTGTGTTTTCTCAGCTCTAAAGGTGGAGGTAGATAGCACCTTTGAGGAAAGACTGTTGCATTGTTTTGGGAAAATCATTTGATGACTCATATGTGATTATGCAAATTACCTGTATTGTGAAGCATAATAGAGTAGAGATAAAGAGTTTGGGCTGGGCTGTCAGGTTGCCTAGATTTTTAAATTTGCCATTACTTGCTGTGCAGCCTTGAGCTGGTTACTTAACTGTCTGTGCCTTAGTTATCTTTTTTATAAAATGGAAAACCTACCTCATAGGTTTTTTTGGAAAATTATATTAATTAATACATATGTTGGACTTTCAATGATGGCAGGCACATAGTTTAAGTGCTCATGAATTTTGGCTGCATTCATTCTTTACTGAGGTAATACAAAAAAAAAAGAGAAACAGGCCCGGCACAGTAGCTCACACCTGTAATCTCAGCACTTTGGGAGGCCAAAGTGGGCAGATCAGCTGAGGTCGGGAGTTCGAGACTAGCCTGACCAACATAGAAAAACCCCATCTCTGCTAAAAAATACAAAATTAGCCGGATGTGGTGGCGCATGACTGTAATCCCAGCTACTTGGAAGGCTGAAGCAGGAGAATTGCTTGAAACCGGGAAGCAGAGGTTGCAGTGAGCTGAGCCCGTGCCATTTGCACTCCAGCCTGGGTGACAGAGTGAGACTCCATCTCCAAAAAAAAAAAAAGGAAACAGTGAACTGTCTGCATAATAAAGTAATAAGTTGTCTTCTTGGGGCCAGAATTGCTTTGGTACAGATTATTATTAATTTGACTAGAGTATAAGAGATGGGAAAATTGGTTTTTCCTGTTTGGGGTCCCCAGAGAATGTAGAGGTCCTCAGCATGGACTCCAGGTATTTCTTTGGCAGTATTTGTCCGCTTGGAATTATTTGCTCAGCAGTTAGTTATAATTTGTTTAATATCTTTCATGAAAACAATTACAGTGTCTATTTTGTTTACCTTTGTGTCCACAATGCCTAGAACTTGGAAGACAATAAATATCTGTTCTCCGACTGACAGAGTACAGTTGATAGAAACTGGCCTGTGAAATGCAACTGTGGAGAGTGTGGAAAGTGAGGGAGCGGGAAAGGTTGGCAACAAAGGTCATAGATCATCAGTATGGAAGCGTCCTCAGCAGAGACTTAGCTGATGGACTCTAGCAGCCTTCATACCTAGGTGCCCACCTTAAATTTTTTTTTGAGATGAAGTCTCGCTCTTGTCTCACAGGCTGGAGTGCAATGGCACAATCTCGGTTCACTGCAAACTCTGCCTCCTGGGTTCAAGCCATTTTCCTGCCTCAGCCTCCCAAGGAGCTGGGATTATAGGTGCCTGCCACCATGCCAGCTAATTTTTGTATTTTTAGTAGATACCAGGTTTCACCATGTTGTCCAGGCTGGTCTCGAGCTCCTGACCTCAGGTAATCTGCCTACCTCAGCCTCCCAAAGTGCTGGGATTACAGGCGTGAGCCACCGTGCTTGGCCAAATTTACTGTATGGTTGTCCCTCTATTTATACTTAAACCTTTTGTGAAAATTGGCAAAGTGTTATACTCTGGATTCATATTGTATGTAGTCTGGAGTTAGCTGCCCAGCATGGGATTACATATGCAGCCCAGGAACATGCCTCTGGCAAAAACTGTCCCTAGAAAGCAGCAGCCGCAGCCTGTAGAAGCCAGCTTTGTAAAAGCCAACCGTGATCAACTGAGAGAAGAGGGGTTGTCTAGAGTGAGACAACTGGCCACAGTGACAAGTGACCACAGAATGTTTTCTGAGATTTTCTGAGAATATTCTTCAAAAGTTACTTAAAGAGAGGGTTCTTGCAGAATTGTAATTTGGACATTAAAATGAGGGACTTAGGCTGAAGTCTGGAGAAGTTGGGATATTTAGATCACGTGAGCAAAAATAAATTCAAAGATACAAAAACATAAGGTGATTTGGGTGGCCATGAGTACATTTGAGAAATTAAAACTAAGAAGTTCTGGCCAGGCATGGTGGTTCACACCTGTAATCCCACCGCTTTGGGAGGTAGAGATGGGTGGATCACGAGGTCAGGAGTTCTAGACTAGCCTGCCCAATATGGTGAAATCCCATTTCTACTAAAAATACAAAAATTAGCTGAGCATGGTGGTGGGCACCTGTAGTCCCAGATACTCGGGAGGCTGAGGCAGGAGAATCGCTTGAACCCAGAAGGTGAAGGTTGCAGTGAGCCAAGATTGTGCCACTGCACTCCAGCCTGGTGACAGAGCAAGAGACTCCATCTCAAAAAAAAAAAAAAAAAAAAAAAACAAACAAAACCTGAGAAGTTCTGTCCTGGAGTTCTGGAAAATAACAGAGAAGATAAATTACTGGGACTTCATCACTGAGTGCTGTGGGCAGAAAGCTATGAAATTTAAATCTTTTTTTTTTTATTTTCTATTGCATTTTAGGTTTTGGGGTACATGTGCGGAGCATGAAATACAGTTGCATAGGTACACACATGGCAGTGTGTTTTGTTTGCTTTCTCCCCTTCACCCACATTTGGCATTTCTCCCCAGGCTATCCTTCCCCACCTCCCCCTCCCACTGGCCCTCCCCTTTTCCCCCCAATAGACCCCAGTGTTTAGTACTCCCCTCTCTGTGTCCATGTGTTCTCATTTTTCATCACCCGCCTATGAGTGAGAATATGCGGTGTTTCATTTTCTGTTCTTGTATCAGTTTGCTGAGGATGATGTTCTCCAGATTCATCCATGTCCCTACAAACGAAACGAACTCATCATTTATGACTGCTGCATAATATTCCATGGTGTATATGTGCCACATTTTACCAATCCAGTCTATCATCAATGGGCATTTGGGTTGATTCCAGGTCTTTGCTATTGTAAACAGTGCTGCAATGAACATTCCTATGCATGTGTCCTTATAGTAGAACGATTTATAGTCCTTTGGATATATACCCAGTAATGGGATTGCTGGGTCAAATGGAATTTCTATTTCTAAGGCCTTGAGGAATCGCCACACTGTCTTCCACAATGGTTGAACTAATTTACACTCCCACCAACAGTGTAAAAGTGTTTCTATTTCTCCACATCCTCTCCAGCATCTGTTGTCTCCAGATTTTTTAATGATCGCCATTCTAACTGGCGTGAGATGGTATCTCAATGTGGTTTTGATTTGCATCTCTCTGATGACCAGTGACGATGAGCATTTTTTCATATGATTGTTGGCCTCATATATGTCTTCTTTCGTAAAGTGTCTGTTCATATCCTTTGCCCAATTTTGAATGGGCTTGTTTGTTTTTTTCCTGTAAATCTGTTTGAGTTCTTTGTAAATTCTGGATATCAGCCCTTTGTCAGATGGGTAAACTGCAAAAATTTTTTCCCATTCTGTTGGTTGCCGATTCACTCTAGAGACTGTTTCTCTTGCCGTGCAGAAGCTGTGGAGTTTCATTAGGTCCCATTTGTCTATTTTGGCTTTTGTTGCCAATGCTTTTGGTGTTTTGTTCATGAAGTCCTTGCCTACTCCTATGTCTTGGATGGTTTTGCCTAGATATTCCTCTAGGGTTTTTATGGTGACAGGTCTTATGTTTAAGTCTTTAATCCATCTGGAGTTAATTTTGGTCTAAGGTGTCAGGAAGGGGTCCAGTTTCTGCTTTCTGCACATGGCTAGCCAGGTTTCCCAACACCATTTGTTAAACAGGGAATCCTTTCCCCATTGCTTGTTTTTGTCAGGTTTATCAAAGATTGTATGGTTGTAGATATGTTGTGTTGCCTCTGATGC